CAAGAAGGCTAACGTGAGCAATTGCAAGGGCCTCAGTACACCAATGGTGTCCAGTCCCAGTCTGTCCAAATTCCATGGCATACCTATTGAGAATGGCACTCTATACAGACAACTCATTGGAGCACTACAATATGCTACAATTACAAGACCTGAGATAGCCTTCTCTGTCAATAAATGTAGCCAATATATGCAAAACCCTCTTGACACTCATTGGAAAGCTCTCAAAAGACTTCTGAGGTATCTTTGTGGTTCAGCTCACCATGGCCTTCACATTACTAAGTCACCTTCATTGCAGCTTGTAGCTTTTGCAGATTCAGACTGGGCCACGGACCTTGATGATCGAAAATCAACATCAGGTTTCTGCATATTTCTTGGCAGCAACTTAATTTCTTGGAGCAGTAAAAAGCAGAAGACTATAGCTAGATCTAGCACCGAAGCTGAATGTAGGAGCCTTGCTGCTGCCACATGTGACCTAATATGGTTGCGCAGCCTATTATCTGAATTGAACCTACCTCAACTTCACCCTTCAACTGTCTGGGTCGACAATCTTGGATCTGTTCTTCTTTCTGCAAATCCGGTTTATCATTCTAAATCCAAACATGCCGCCATCGATCTTCACTTTATAAGAGAGCAGGTTCATCTTCGCACCATCTCTGTTCATCATATTCCAGCTTTGGATCAAACGGCCGACATTCTTACAAAGCCGTTATCGGGTCAATTCTTCACTCGGCTTCGGGACAAATTAACCGTTAAAACCAAACCCTCGCTCGAATTGAAGGGGGCGTAATAGCATTATTGACTCTGGTCAACCTTTTCTCTATTTTAGGACGTACGCATGCCTTTGCCATGCATGCATAGGCCTTGTTTGGCGATCAGCGGATAGCGGATTGTATTAGCGGATAGCGGATAGCGGATTATATTAGCTGATTTGACTAGCGGATTACATTAGCGGTTTTTAAATAAATGTTCGGTAAATAGCTGAAAGCTTATAGTTGTTTGACATTGCAAATTACCAATAAGGACATTTTATTATTCTTTTTTTTAATAATAATATATTAAAATATTTATTATTTTTTAGTTGGTAATTTATAAATATATTTTTTTAAAAAAATTTACTAACACTTGATTAAGAAGTTATAATTTTATATTTTTCTAGATAAATTAATCATATGGATGACATATTATTATTTGTTAGCATCATAAACCAATGTAGATTGTAAAATAAATAATACAAATTAAAAAGTTTTAAATTAAAATTGTAGATTGTGAATCCTCTATCCCCAAAAAGCTCCTCTAATGAGCTTTTTCTAAATTAGAGTTTTGGGCCTAAAAAGCTTATCGAATAAGCTATTTACCAAACAAGCTCAATAGCGGATTTGACGGGTCAAACCTCTCAATTAAGTCCAATCCGCTAATTTATCCTCAATCCGCTATCTTCCAAACGGGGCCATAGTCTCTTTTTATTTTTGCCTTCTTTGGTAATTTTTGTATTTATTCTCAGACTTCTTCTTAGCCTTAGATTGAGATCCGACGGTCGATATTAGCTCAGACTTTGTATATAATTATCTTCACATGCTTCTAGGTCAAGTGACATTGAATGATAGAAATTACAGCAGCAAGTTTATTCATTGATATCATTGCTTTCCTCTTTGGTGTTTGATTTGATATACAATGGCAACGGATCTCGGCCATTAAAAACAAATTTGAAATTGATTGCATACACATACACAATTTTTTCCTTCATTAAATTAAGTAATTTACAATTTTAAAATAATAAGACTATAGATTATCAAGAAAACACGTTTTACAATTTCCGTTATATTTAGCTATGCAATATTCATAAAACAAGTATAAATCATATTATATATATCATGCTAAAAAATTTAATTGATTTATTTAAGTCTATTTTACATACAGTTTACACAGATGTACATTGTTTTATGTTAATAATATATAAATTATCTTTTATTTTATTCAAATACATGGTTTTTTTTACGTTCGTCCAATATAAAAGCTTACTTTAAAACTAGGTCGTGCATTTCTCCAAGTCCTGCTTATATGGCCCAATTTATGTGCATTTCTCCAAGTCCTGCTTATATGGCCCAATTTATTTCCACGTATTGCTGCTTCTTTTAATTCCTTCCCTAAAAAAACTCTTGTTGCTTTTTTTATTCCCCAAATCAAACATTGTAGGCTTTTATTCTATCATCAATATTCGGTCCACATTATGTGGCATGTATTGGGTCAGTTATAGGTACCTCTATACTACGCCGAGTGAAATTTCGTTTAGTGCAACATCGCCCACGAAAATAATCTCATATTTTGAAGATAAATCATTTAAAATATAAAAATACACTAATAAATATATAAAATGAAACATTTTTTATTCGAAGAATCACGCAACTTTCGAGGGTTTGCTTATTTTCAGTTTCTAACTTCACACGAAAAAAAACAGACGTTTGCAATTTCAGAAAACAGTCCAGACTACACATTTCATGTGCTTGTCATGTTATTGCATCCTTTTCGGGCAAGGATAGGGTTCTTTGTGTGAGCGTTTTAACTTTCAACCCTCATTATTATGGTTGAATTCAATATTGCCACAAATTATGTGGGGTTTAATAAAGAAGAAAGAATATTTAGAAGTTACATTAATTATCAATGTGTCACATTAATTATGATTTTTTTTTAGAAGTTACATGACAATATTAATGATACTTAATGAACCATGTTTAAATGACATAGCTTTGGTAAGATCTTCATTGTATTTATAAACTCTTAATTAAATCTAACTAAAGTGATTAGCAAAATAAAGTGGCAAGCATCAATCAACAAAATTGGACACCTCAATTAATCGAAGGTTTTATTTTATTTTTATTTTTTAGACAAAATTGTAATATTTACTCTTTTATTTATATTATTTTACAGTTTTATTTATGTTATTTTTATAAAAAAAAAAAGTATATCATTTTGATATGATGCATTTTATTTATGTTATATTTTTTTTTATACTATATAGCATTTTTATATGAAAATATAGATATATGTATACTACGCTTTAATTTATGTTTAACTTTTTTTTTTTTTTT